AGAGGGTTGGATTCTCTGGGGTTTCTGCCACCTGCTCATGGGCAGTGTTTGGTGGCCTCAGGCAGAGGCTGCAAGGAGCCCTGGTGGCGTGATGATTAAGCACTCAGCTGCTACCAAAATGTCGGTGGTTCAAACATACCCGTTGCTCCACAGGACAGAGACAAGCCAGTCTGCTTCCACAAAGAGTTACAGCTTTGGAAACCCTACAGTGCGGTTCCACTCTGTCCCACAGGATGGCTGAGAGCCAGGCCTGAGGGCACCATAGGTGGGGGCACAGACCACATTTGGCCACTAGAGGCCACTGCAGCCCAGGGAGGCCTGGGCAGCCCGGTCAGGACTGGCCTGGCGTGTGTGTGTGTGTGTGTGTGTGTGTGTGTGTGTGTGTGTGTGTGTGTGTGTTGGGGTGCTATGTGTTCTCCTTCCCCAGGCTCTCCAGAAGGATGAAGTGACAATTCTGGACACAAGGTCTGTGCCCATCACCCTGAGTTGGCAGACAGTAAAGGATGAATTAAAGTGTTTCAAGTCAGTCTGGAGAGCGAGATGCCAGCCTTTGTCCATGAAAGAACCTTCTAGAATCTTCCTTGAGCTAGGGCAGGGCACGGTGCAGGTTGGCCAGGGGCTGGCGTCTTCAGAAGAATCACGGGCTCACAGGCACTGCACACACCAGCTCAGATGCCCCGGAGTGGACAAAAGAAGCCCACGCTTGTGTGCACAGGTTCTGGCCATTTCCAGCAGGAAAGCATTCCCCTTTCTATTTCGGTCTCTTGGGGAAGTGCTAGTGGATAGAATGTACTAGACTCAACTCCCAGCTCCCTTCCTCCCGCGCCTCTGCCAACATTCTCATTAAAGCAAGGCCCAATATTTGTGTTCCGTGTTTTAACTTCTGGTTCCATGTTTTAACCTTCACAAGTTTCCAAGGTCAGTGGGTGGGGCCGAGGGAGGAGAGGGGATGATGAGCTCCCTCCTCCAGGGCTGTGTCCTCCTGAGTCCCAAACCCAGGGCCGAGTGGGCCGCGGCCGGGACTCCCTTGCTGGCTTTCCCCGACTGGGAGATTTCTTGAGGTTCCTCGCTGTTTAACAACCGGCCCAGGAATGTACGGCAGAGGGGGCAGGTCCCAGAATCCGTGTGGGTTCTACTCGGAGCCCCTGGCGAGCACTTTGGGCTGCTTTCCAGAACACGTGTCACACGAGAGACCCGTGATCCTGCCGGGTTGATTTGTTTTGATTTAATTTATATTTTTAACAGCACTCACTTCCTGTGGAACCCAAAGGGTGCGGTTAGGACTCGAGGGTCCGGGAGCTGCAGCTGTGAGTCCAGGTGCAGGAGAGAGCACCGCAGTGCTTTGTCTTCTCGCCAGTGGTTCGCAGGGGCAGGGGCGGCTTCCAGATCACGGGGGGGGGGGGGGACTACTAAACTTGAAACTCTCCCTCTGCCTTCGGATGGGACCCCCTCCAGGAGCGACCTCTGAGAGTCCGTGAGTGGGCCACTGTTTCCCAGGGCTCCTGGGGACCCCTCCTGCCAGCCACCCCCAAGCCGAAGGGGAGGTGACCAGGACATTGGCAGCAGTCCCTTGGGGGGACACATGCCATGTCTGCTGCCCAGAGCCCCAGGACGCCCCTTGCCACTCGGGGCCTCAGTGCCACCTTCTGTGAAGACCCTGAGTGGACGGGATCAGCGACTGACCACAGACTCCCAGGAACTGAGTGGAAGCTTTAGCTGTTGCCTCTCCACGGGCGGGCGCGTGCACACGCTGTGTAATACGCAGCTTCGGCCTCCAGCGCGAAGGCAGTGGTGACCAGAACTCCTGCTGGGCATCAAGGAGGGGAGCAGTAACGGCCCTGGGGCTCCAAGCGCTGAGCCGGCCCCTCGGTGCTGGTCAGCTCACTCATTCCTTCAACAACGCTCACTAGTAAGTGGTGGAATCAGAACTCAGGACCTCTGCCCTGCCGCTGCCACCGGCCTCCGTAGTCCTTTGTTTCACGGTGGACTGTTGCATGCAGGCGTAAAGAGAGGGGCTCCGGACCTGTGCTTGGCGCCCAGCCAGTGATTGCAAAGCCACACCCAGGTACCCTCAGAACGAGCACTAGATCCCCGGCCCCCTGGGCCCCCGCTCGCTGGTCATCACTTCCTGGCTCTTCCTCCTCTTCTGTCTCCTCGTACACACCTCAAGCACCATGGTTCAGAGGGGCTGTTTTGGACCCCACGAGAACGGGTCATGTTCTGTCTCTTGGGTTCTTGCTGTGGTTTCCACCTATCCCTGGAACCAGGAAGTGGCCAAGGGCAGCCCTGGGTAACCTTGCAGCAGTGCAGGTGTCATATTCCGGAAAAGTGGGCCCTGTCCAAACCCATTCGCCACATTCGAATTTTCAAAAACCAGCCAGTGCAGTGCGACAGAATCCTTTATTTATCTAAACCCAGCCCAGCCTATTTGAAGGCTATTGCACAACACACATTCTCTGGGGTTCCCTAGTCTCCCGATTCCCCCTTCACCCTGTCCAGGAGCCTTCCATAGGGACCAGCAGCAGCAGCCTGCGAGCCCTGGTGTCCTCCCGGCCATCTGGACCTAAACTCCTGTCCTCTGAGCCCCCTAGCACGCACAAAGGCTGGTCTGGGGAGGTCCTGGATGAATGGCCTTTAGGGACAGACCGCCCCCAACCCAGCAGGGCTTGGCAGCAGAAACTCCCAGGAGCAAGAGGTTCAGGTCAACCATAAGGCCCTCACATTGGTGTTGGTGGGAAGAAAATGGTCATATTTGGCCTCAGCCCAAAGCCATTCTCTTCGGCAGGTTTGAGCAAAGCTGGGGGGGCGGTGGCTGTAGGATGTTTGTACATGGAGCCCAAGGAAAACCCTGTCCCGTCTCTAAGACTGTCCCTGTGGTTGGTACCCACTCAGGCTCCATGCACATCTGCACTCAGCTTGGAAACAGGCCTTGCAGTGCCCCGACCCTCCAAGACCTGGCTCTGGTGGAGGCTTGGCAACACTTCCCAGCCCGGTGCTTCGAGTGGGCTCAGGGGACCTTCAGAAGGAGATTCCACCAGCCTCCCCGCAATGGCCCAAGGCCACCAAGAGCCTGGCGTGGGTTTCCAGACCCAGAGCTCTACTCTGAAGTGTTGCCACAGTCCCAGAGAGCCCCTCTTTCCAGTCTGTTCTCATCAGGAGGCGTGGGGGGTGCTGCTCGGAAGCCCTGCTTCTCCCCGAGGTAGATCCCCCTGCCTGACTGCTCCAGGGCCACACGCCGCCGCCGGTGGCGCTCCGGGAGTAGCCGCAGGCTCTGGAACCGGGCGATGCGTCCAGGCCAGGCAGCACGAGCCGGAGGCGACCTGGCCTGCGCCGTCCCTGCTCCAAATCCCGATGGCAAACCAAGGCTGTTTTTCTTTCCGTTTAAAAGTTGCGCTTTAAACCCAGTGGCTCCGAAATCCGGCCATTTGCCCACTGCCTTTCAAAGTCCAGGGAGGTTCTCCCGGGATAAAGCAGCAGCCTCTCTGCGTGTGGATGAATATAGGGGGACACTCCCCGGCAGCTTCCGCGGGTCCTCACCGCGGCCTGGCGCCCCGGGTCCCCTCTCCGGCAGCCGCCCGGCCACTCGCGCGGCCTGGGCGGCGGTCTCTGCGAGCCAGCTCCGCCGGCGGTGGCAGCCTTGGGGCCGCG